AATTCCAAAATACCTTTTGAACCAGAGCGACCTCTGAAGGATCAACCCCGAAGAGGAAATTCGAGAAACCGAGTGATTCCAATTACTTGCTTGTACTCCGACACCGTCGCTACCTGGAAGCCCGGACCCATACGCAAGCTGACGTATAACCGATACAGCTCCTTCGGTCGAGTGGAACCATTAAAATGCCTGCTGGCATGCAGCTCGGCGTGCGTTCGAGGAACACAATCCGGCTGTAGCTTCCACACAGCATCCCACTAACCTACTGATCCTTCGGTGCGTCTTGCGTCACAGCGCCTTCAACATGGATCTACGGCTTTTCCTGCGACGCAAGCGTGGCCGACGAGGGATCGATTAATCTTGGAACTAAAAGGAGGCAATCTGTCGAAGCCAACTCCCTAAACTCAAATATGAGTGTTACCCCAGATCAGATTAGATTTTTATCGTATCGGCTCTTATTTTTTCAAAATCCAACGCGCATTTGAAAAGTTTACTCTACATTCTCATGAAAAAGGACACAGTAATCTCAGATGCCTTTGATACTAAACAATAATTTTCATTGCATAACAAATTGACAATATGTGATTGGCTCTCTCTGTAAAATCTTCTCAATTGCCAGTGACGAGTGACAACTGGGTCTAGAATATAATTTTCACACTGATTCACCGGAACACTTCCGAAATTTATTTCGAGAAGTACTAATTTTTACTACCTGCCAACTTGATGAGTGAATAAGTAGGCAAATACAGTATTTAAAAAAACAATAATAAAAAAATTAACAGAAGAAGGTGGTTTTGGGAATTCGTCACGATTTGGCGAACTACCGACCCATTCTCATAACGTACTGTAAAGACGTTCAAAGATTCGTAAATATCTGTCTACTGTAAATCATGTGAGCAATACTAAAATCAAACACATGCGTATTTTCAGTGTATAGGCATAAATAGGCATGATTTAGTATTATGTAAGCTTTCACGACAAACAGAACCTAACAGAATAGAAAATGGTTTTGGACATGGACAACCAATACGGTTTGGCAAACGATCGCCTCATTTCCATACTAGAAATACATGAAAAAGTTCGAAAAAATCCGTGACTGTAAATCTGTCAATAAAGACATGAAATTATGTGACAACCAAGTCGATTCTAAGCCCCTACACAGAAGAAAGTGGTTTCGGACAATCAATACGATTTGGCAAACTATCGACCCATTTCCATACTCCAGACATTCGGAAAATTCTTAAAACCCCGACCGTAACTGTAAATCTGCCAATAAAAAGATAAACTTGGGAGACGACCGTAAATTCCTAGTCGGAGCCAGGAGTAGGTTACGTGTAGAGTGGGCGAAGGCGCACCGGACCACCCCGTAGCGCACTGGGTGGCCGCACTACTACCCGTCCTGTGACCATCAAGCGCGACGTACTAGCCGTCCCAACAACATCGTCCGCTACATTATACATGCTAATTTGAGACCAACTTAATTGTCTGCTATCTGAGCTAGATCGGCCGCGCCCCGGCTCCCTTTGTTGGTCCAGAGGTTTAGGTACATTCATTGAGTGGGTAGGACAGGTCCGTTGTGGATAACTTGTTCGAGAAGTTAAACGTGTACAATGTAGTGGTGGAAAATGTTGCCACATGTATTCTGGTTGGCACTGTTGTATGGGCAATAGTGGGCGAAAGTTACTTTGGAGGTTTCAGTGTATCTAAATATTAGCTGGATACAGTTATTGCGCGTATCGTCATTGTTAACACTACAAGTATCCCTTGCGTTGAATTACAATTGTATATTTAAATATGTAGGTAGTTGGGAACTTTGAATACCTACACGGTACAAATATTTCGATACATCGCGCTAAACTGAATTTAATACCGGTTGATTAAATTATTGTTAATTAAAGTAAGCAAAAGCTATAATATGTATACAGTAGTTCTAAATCCATCATCTATATAATAATGCTTGCCGCGTTTCTTTACAACTTTTTTACTCAGCTAGTGTGCATCGCAATGGAAATCTACGTATACTGTTAGAAAGATATTCGCCTGAATATGTTCAAAATCCCTTTATAAATTAAAATAGGCTCAAAAATGAGCAAAAAATGAATTTGGAAAAAAACATTAACATGGACCTTAAAGGTTGCCATTCTGGTGATGAAATATAAACAGTAAATCAAAACAAATTAAGGAAATTCCAATCACATATTTTATTTACAGCGTGGGGTGAAAATAGAGAAGTCTGTAGGCCTACATTACAAATTTTGGTCGAGTTTTTTACCACTGAACGACCTCTAGTAATCAACTAATCATAAATCAATAATTCCGCCAGAGTCCCTGTAGAAAACTCCCATCTAATTGTAGACATATCCTCAGTGTGAACATTGTCAAAAACCCTTTCCACAGTGATAAACTGATTTGAATTACTGTGCTACATAAACTATGTGAAGATCCTATGTTTAATGTTTAATGTTTTCGCTAATGTTTAAAGCATTCAAGGAACTATTTGGCCTAAATGGCTAAAAGATACTTTTTGAATGTCTAGAAAGCTTTATCGACTAAAGTACAATTTAAAAGATGCACATTGTGTCCGCCTTTTGGGATCGGCCATTTTTAGATTTTTTGGAAACCCTCTGATCAAACATCATCCTACGATCCAATCTTTATTACGCCTGTGTGTGGAGGTGGCGCGGCGGCTGTTTTGAGACATGAAACCCTCCTCTGGACGTGGAATGTCCGCATCAGGCTACACGGAGTTGATGACTTCATCTGTCTGTGACTCTGGGGTCTAGGGTTCGATACCCAACATGCCAGAATATTTTACTCATTAGCTATAAGATTTTGTTTTGCACGGGGATGAATTCCAATTGAAAACTATCGGCAGAGTAAAATTTATTAAAAATCTAAGATGTACATTATAACGGTAAATCATTCTGGAGATACAAGTTAAGGTATGGCAGTGGGGGATATTTACAGTATTGATAATTATGAGGAAAAAGTGTGTAATTTATTTGGGAAATAATCGTTTTAGATGCAACGTGGTGTGAATACGTGTGTAAGTGCTACGAATAAAAATGGCAATTGTTAAAAACCATACCGTATAAAGCGTTTTGAAAATCGCCAAAAATTCCAAAATTACAGAAATAGGTACTCAAATCAGAGTTTAAAAAATCCTCGAAGTAACTGTTATGACATGACACTGCGGTTATAAGATTCCTTTTTTACAAATATAATTTTTCCAACAAATAACTATTTACGTAATTACTACCTAGAGAGAGTTAAAATATAACAAATTAAGTTAGAAAATGAAACCAATTAGTTTTATTAATTAATTATGTTTAACTTTGGCAAATTGTAAATTAACAGTGACAAATTGAAAAGCTAACAGTCTTTAGGATATTACAAAATAGAACAGTTTAGACGTCTTTTCTCTCAACGACGCAGAAATGATTGGTAATAAAACCGTTCAGACATGAAGCAGCAATTGGGCCAGGAAATAGCTCGGAACGTCCTCTCGTAAAATACGTCCAGTCGGGAAGGAATGGGCGATGTGCAGTGAGGTCCAAGGATACACAAAACACAAATAATTCAACAGAAATAATTGTTCGTAGGGCATAGTTACAACAATCGCACCTTGCACTGAAATAAACCGTCTAGAGAAAAAGAGCAGGCTCGTTTATGGCGTACGCAAATCGTATGGGCTCCCCGTAAAATTTAATCAGTCGGAATTCATCTCGTGTGTCACGATCTTGTAGGTAGTTTCAGGTCGGAAATAAACGGGAAATCTTGACGAATTTGTAGAACAAAATTAAAAGGACTAGAAACTAAGGAGGACGGTTTCAATATTATTTTCATAACGAACAACTTTTCATTCATTTCTACAAGTTTTTTTTTTTGCGTTTCTAGACACAATTTTTCGCTACCTATCGATTTTGTCGAACTAACAAAACCGATTAAATTTAGAGATCCATATCCATACGGTACTTGTGCTATAGCCACACGGGACATCCAATGATTGACGTTAGCATCTAAATTCCTACACCCACGGTTCGTCAAGCGCATGACCGATTTTCAAGTACCTCTTTTTGCTTCAGCAGGTGCTTTGCACGTTATCAAATTGATTTTACTAGACGAGAACCCAAACCCTGTCCTGTTCACTTAAGAGTTTTAAGTTGCATGCGTTAAGGGAGTGATCTGCTTCGAACGCGACTGGGAAACTGCGAGTGTCGCGTTGAAAACGAGCAACACTAGATAGGCAATGTTCACAGACTTACGTCAATATGGATCAACATTTGGCATGCCTCTGATTCAAGAGAGGATTTTACAACGTCTCAAACGTGTTGGAATACACCTTTATCCACTAATCCCCAATATTCTCTGTCCTCTCTGCAGACACGTTTTCCATGTTCTCGAAGGCGGCAGGTCGTCGCGTAAGACGATCGACCGACCGGCTGGCCGGAAGCGGACATGAGGGTATCGCTATAAGGGCAGATGTTATCTCCTGATCAGACACCCTCGCAACAATGCATTATCACCCTCCTCTGACAATGCCCTGACCAGAGGGTTCTAGGAACATTCAGAACGGACTGGGACGCTAGTTGATTATAACGGTGCGGTGCGTCCTTTGAAGGGGTCCGACAACTCCCCTAGGGCTGGTGTGAAATAGTTTCGTCTGTCAGGCGTAACATCTGTATTGGGCTCTAACGTAACCTTGGAGATGGTGAATTATTCAAATATGAGTTAGTCTTTTTCTTGTTTCCTTAAACAAATCCTCTAGGGTTTTTCATTTTCCGTGTATATTTCTTCATTTTAGTTATCTTATTATTTATTTCGTATTCTCAAGCACGAAAACTAAGCCTGTTAACTAAGGTTTGTGTGTGGGGGTAAGCTTGTTCAATTTATACTGCAATAGCAATGTTATCTTGCTTGTTTACGGAAAAGGCACATACACGTCAATCGCGGTACTGCAATAAGCTAGCTTAAAAATAATAACAGAAACTATTACTCACCTTCAACCCACAACTGCTCGGCACGTGAGTGTATAACAGCTGATTTGAGTCCAACACAGAAAGACGAGAGAACGAGTAAAGCGACGAACAAAACTTTACCGGCGTGACGATGTAGAAAACAACCCAGCTGGAACAACTGTGACTGAAGTCGAGCCCGGAACCATAGAGCAGTTCTGCGGCCCTCAGCTCTGCCCTGGAACAGATCATGGGTGTCAGAGTAAGTGTAGATATTGTCTAGGAACAGAAGTGTCAGGAACAACGGAGAGCGAAGAGGAAGGATAAAGAGTTTCAAAATATATTAGTAGAGATGTTGTTGAGGAACAGGAGGTCATAAGATTGGCAAAGGAGGATCAGGAGTGCAAGATACAACTAAGAGGGATTAGAGTTTTAAAATATTAGTGAAGATGTTGTTGAGGAACAGGAGGGTTATAACATCAGTAAGGAAGGTCAGGGGTGTCAGAAAAGGTGGATATTTTGTCTAGAAACAGGAGTGTCAGAACCAAATAAGAGGAAAGTAAAGGTTTCAAAATATTAGTAAACATTTGGTCGAGGAACACCGGTGGAAAAGGAAGATTAGGAGTGTCAGAATATTAGCGGAGATTTTGTTTGATTAAGATTAGAACACCGTAGGTGGATAAGGAGTTTTAGCATCTTAGAGGAGCTTTTGAAGAGGAACAGGAGTGCCAGAAAACTGGGTGGATGTAGAGTTTCAGCATTTTAGCGAATATTATATTGAAGAACATGAATGTAAAAACACCTGACAAGAAAGATGATCAGGAGTGTCCGAATATTGGTTTTCCAAATATTACATTAAGATAAGGGATAAAGGTATCTGGGACGAGGAGACAAAGGATATTAAGATGTATATTATTAGGATTATAGTTTAACTATTTATTGTGATATCAGATCAGTTGATCTACATCTACAACAGTCTACAACCAAATATTAAATAATCAGTAGGTAGGCCTCTAGTGGATGAGAATAGCATAACGATGTTTGGAAGCCTCTTAACGTAAACATGACAAGGAGGTTAAATACATTGGTGGTATAAAAATAGGACATGACTCACGTGAGAGAAAGCCCCATAGTGGTCTAAACTGGAGCATTACGAGAAATATCAAAATAGCACACAGTTGTAGGACCTACATCCAAATACAAAATTAGGCCCTAATTGTCTAAGAAATAGCTAAAGGGTTACCAACAGTACCTTATTAACTGTGCAAGCGTGATTAACATCAGGTGTAATACAATGTATACCCACGAAAATTATAGAGATCAGTATTTTGCTTTACTGATACAATCAAAACAATCTAACCTTCAACAAAAACAGCCTCTACAATATAACACTCGCCAGGAACGCTCAGGAATCACGGAAATCAGCACAAAAATCTCAGTCGGATTGCTACACGTAAATTTGCAAAACCAGCCATAAACGACACAGTCCTTAAGAATGGGACTCGAATAAAATTCCAGAGAAACTTAAACCATGTCGGAAAGGGTGTTAAATCACATGTTTCAAGTGATAAAGATTGCGTTAAACGTCCGAACAATTTATGGACGCAGGTTGTCGTAAAACGTTCAAACCGAGTGTGGCCAGGGACCACACACGTTCAAACATGTCTGTCTGAGCGTCTGTCTGTCTAGCGTTCAGTAATTAGATTAAAAGTGTCCACGCGTCGCGGGTGCGGCTAGCGTCTTGGCGCTGGTCGAACATACAGATGCCAGCTCACGACGTCACAGACACAAGCGGGTCGTCGCACGCAGGCAAGACCGCTGGTGGAACTTAATTTGATCAAAATAAAAACCTAAAATGTTGAATATAATGTAAATTTCCAATAGGGATTCATTGGGTTGTAAAGCGCATGTGGAAGTAAATAGGTAAAGCGTATGATGTAGGAAACTAATTGGATAATTCAGTCAAAGGTGTGCAACTTAAAACGATTAGTCTAATTAAGAAAATATATTAAATAATTTTGTAGCACGATTACATTATTTATCTGACACAATTTCAACATTTATTTTTAGTTGCATAATCGTTATCTATCAGACCATAATTTGGGAATAGATCGATGCTTGCTTCTTCGAATATTTTTCAGCAAAGTAATTATGGCGGGGGCTTATTATTTGTTTTCCCTCTTAGATTAGATTTAATGTACTCCTTAAAATTTGTCCAAAGAGAATATTGTTTAACATTTTTAAGCAATTGAATTCCTGTCTCTAACACAATCTACAAACATTTTATTTACATTACGTACCGATTATTTAAACTCATTTCAAAATTGTGCGATAAGTATTGTACACTCACATTAAAAAAATACGCAAACCCCACCAATAACACAAATACAAAACTACCGTTATATAAAACATGAATGGGAGGCGGTCAGAAGCAGAGCGGACCGGAATGCAAAAAAGGTAATGGCAATGAATGAAAGAGGAGCGCAATTAGTAAACAGAGTGGAGTGAGCTATGAAGACATGATGCGAACGGTCGAGCGGCGACCAGGCTTTGTAGATGTGGCAACACCGATGACGTCACAGACCACCGGCGTAGTCAGTTCCCCCACCACAGCTGCGCAGTCACTGCGCCGTCGCGCTGCGTACTGCGTACAACAGTCGGAGCGTGCGCCCAGGACGTATGAAGTCAGATTTTTATGAAAAAATGCGTTTAAACGGGAACATTAAATTCCTAATCGTGAAAAAAACTAAAAGTGTTCTTCAGTATGGCCTGCCTAATAATATGATAAATAATTATTTAAAAAATATTAGGATTTTTCATCTGTAACACGGTTTGAAACGCTGAGTTTTGTTTGTTTTATGTGTTCTTTGTGGAAAAAAACATTTGTCGTCATACTGCAGCAAAAACAGCCGTTTTAAATGCATACGTTGCGGGTCTAAAGTAGGATTTTTACTCCCTCCATTTCTAGTCTCTATTGAGTAAAAATCAGCTGTTGTAAACAGTTTTATCAATTGATTTATTAGGTAAGGTTTTAGCCTTTTGTTGTCAATTGCTCGACACATCGATGGCATAATAACGCATCGTAATAGAAGAAATAACTGAATCACTTACAGTAATAAACAGCTGCGAAAAATATAGTTCACCACACGGGCAAAAAGTGACTTTAACCCTCACTCATTTTTAGACTTCGGCTTCACCTCGATCGTAAATCTTGACCTCGGGTCAAAAAGAGTCACTTTAGGCCCTAGTGATGAAATATACTAGGCTATTATGAGTGCCAACTTTACATGGACATAGACTGATATACTCACTCCTTCACTTCTATTATGGTACTTCAATAGTCTGTTATAGTTTTACACATAATTTCAGGCTAGGCCGAGAGGATTGCGGCATTATCACTTTATTCACTTAGATAAAATCCACTCGTGGCGGGATTTGAACCCGGGACCTCGGGGAGCAAAGTCTTGCGCTAGCTAGACCAGCTCGCTCCCCGGTAAACATTATAAGGGTTTAGCCTAAGTAAAAGGTGTTCTCACACTGAAGTCCTGACGTTCCCGTGTTACTCCTGTCCATGATCGGGCATCACAACAACGCTCAGCACGCGCCCAGCAGGGCAACGGCCCAACGCACGGAACCGCGCTATTGTTTACAAATGGATTTTCTTTTGAACCACGTAAACAAGGTCTGACCGGAATATGCTGGTTCATTACCGTCTTTGTCGTATACACGCCGCAAATGTCCAGGGGTGACCACAGAGTGCGTGACATGTACAGGGTGGTAAGGATCTACCAGGATCTACACTTTGTGTCCCCCAAACACCTACTTCCCGGAACCAACGGGACAAGCGTTAGTGGCATGGGTGGAATCCTACGGACGGAGTTGTAGAATTCCGTGTATATAAGTCCTAGTCTTACAATTTTGAAACTATGCAGTCCACAACTATTTGGAAATCAAATAAAGGCATTGAGTTGTAGCATTCTTTAAACATGATTTTAAACTTGATAAGACACGAAATTATTTTTAGATACTACCACCTTTCACGAGCTGCATTATTTGTTATTTAAGAGTATTTATAACCTTGATTGTTCCAAATAGTGTATGATGTCTTCTTAAATATTGCTTGAATTTAATTTTTTTAAACCAAAACTCCGACGTGGCAGTAAAAAGACAATTATTTAAAAGTGTATACCGGTATGCTTTTTAAATTAACCGCGTATTGTTAATTCCGATCCGACTGTAAATTTTAATTAGCCTATTTATACGGCCGTTTTTGTTATCACAACGTGGTTTTTCACATCGGTTTAATGTTTTCCGATTATAACAGTTAAATAATTTATTTCACCACTTATTTTGTTTTATTGACTTCATAAAACTAGTTTGTTACCACGTATTAAATTGCCTCTTAAATAGCATCATATAACAAACAATGTTGTACTGAAAGTTTTCCGTTTTGTTGTTTCCCCTGTTTTTTAAATATGTTTTTCTCCTCTACAGTTGTTTTACAGTTTTATTTATTCATTCATTTTGCATGGTGTGCTCTTTGGACTTTTTGTTTGTGAAGAAATGCATCTCTGTTGTTATTTTCAGTTTAGGTTTAGTGCCTTGGCCAATTGTAAAAAACCGAAAGGCTGAATGAATCTTTAATCAATTTATTTGAGACGATAGTTGTGTTCCTGTCGAATAAAACATGAACAAGTTTATATAGCTAAGTTTAACTAAGCTATTCCGCAAAAAACTGAAAGTTGCTGGTTGGATTCAGGACCCAGATGCCATTTTTGTCTAGAGTGTATTAATGATGCTAACAAAGGTAAGTTGAATCATGAGAAACGAGACCAACAGGGTTTGGACCGCTCCCTTATTACAATGTAAAGTGTAAACTGATTTTGGCTAAGCTAACACTGATGTAACTTACTTCTTCATCAGTTACAGTTACAGTAGGTACATTATTTTACCACATTGACCAATGAACTGTTAAATTACACTATTAAAAACACATAAAATCTGTTGGTTCCAAATTGTTTGACAGAAAGAGTTGATAAAAACAACAACTAACAATGCAATTGTACTATGGAGTAGGATATCAAAGTTTAATGCTCTAATGTCATTGAATTGATTAATGCCAACCAATCACACGACCAGGGTGCCAAAACAAGCACAATCAAAATAAACAGAAGCGGTCCGAAGACACTGCCCTGTGAGCTACCGTGAGTCGTGAGTGTACAGTTCAGTGGTGGGGTGGGGGACGGAAGGGACGCACGGCCTTGGTCTCCGTCAGCTGCTAGCCCATGGACCACACACGCGACAAGGCAAAGGCACCCGGCCACGGCTCCACTTCCACGAACAGAACACCCAACAGGGCTAACAGTTGCACTTCGGCGAAAAACGCTGGCAATGCAACTAATGGACAATAGGTAACAACCAATAACAGAGATTGGAGCGAAAACTAAATGTAGTGTAAACAATGTGAAACCTAGAACTTGGGGAACGAGCCTATGACTGATGTGGTAATATAAAGACTACGGAACTGTAAATTTGACAAACATGCACTAAGGTGGAAATCGCTAGCAAATAGAAAAGAATTTACATAGGAATAGCTAACCAACAGCTATAAACTAACTGCAAATGTGAATTGGCCAGGGTGTAATGCTACTGTGGAGTTAACACCGCGATGGAAATATGATCATGTGTGGGACTATGTTTATATTGCAATTGTCCGTATTTGTATCTGATGTAAGAAATTGTGGTTGTGTATATAAATGCAATTTGAAGTTCATATATGGAACAGCACTATTTTGAGCTACAGATTAGATTAAAAGTGACTTGATATTACTGTATATTCATTGCAAACTCGTATATGACAATGGGGGTTTAAAAACACTTGCTTGGAGAGTAATCAAGTAAGATATTAGTTGTAGAGTAGCAGGGGATGTTTTATGAATGAAAAAGCGTTGAAAACTAACCTGTTGTTTATGTAAAATAATTTTGAAAGATTGGTAAAATCATGGGCACGAGAAATTTTTAAGAGAAAGAGAGAACACAAGATCACTCAGAAACACAGAAAGGGACACTCCGCGCTACCTAGTAGAGAACCGGCAAACTAGCAGCACCAACTTCTGAACGTGCCAGAAATAGGGCAAACTTTTCGTCCAAGCACATAAAACTCTTACCGTACACCACAACTAAACCAAACGAGTGACCGTCTCTTATCAACAGTTATCAGTTACATACCTTGTCGATTTGCGAAAGAGCGAGACCTGCGTCTATCCAACTAGTCCTCACAAAGAGATCTGATGTGTGGCGTGGTTGTTCGAACACCATAGCGGCACTTCATACCGTCCCGACCACCCTAATATCCACATTAGAACACACGTTAACACACACACGGCGACGGCGGACACTCACTTAAACAGACTACGAGTGTTGAACTTCCGAACAGCGCGAACATCTCGGAAAGACTGAGCTGCGGCCACGGTGCCGTCTGGCAAGCGACGTTCTGATTGGCCGAGCCGGCGGTCGCATAGCAACGCTGCCTAGCGCCCTCGCGGCCATTCACGGCGACGACCACCCACATGGCGGAGAAATCAAGAATACAAAAACAACATCGGCGCTCTCTCTCGCCGCACACACGCGGTCGCGGTGATCATTCCATCCCGCATTTCACCGCTCCATCTCGCACCTTGCCTTCGCCTTGGAGCCGGAGCGACGGAAAATGTCAGGATGAAATGCTGGATTGGTCAAAGTATATGTGCCATTTGATTTAGTACTACTATGTTGCAGTAATTGATCGTATGGAATTCAAAATGTGGGTTGATTCTGTATTAAATTTGAAAGCCCGGACTTTAAAACACACCAAAACTTGCTTAGAATGTCTAATTTTGTAGTATCCACAGCAAATAGTACCATTGATTATGCATACCCCAGGATGTATAATAAATCTTTGAAGATATATAATCAATGGTAATACCGTACTTAAAAGTCGATATAGCAAGGTGAGGACGGTACTGGAAATATAAACCCAGGTGTTATCATCTGTCAAGCCAAGTTATGTCTGAATGGTTTTAGAAAATGGGATACAAATCGAATACTTCGTTACATATCCATAGTCAATGGTTACGTCAAGGGCTGTTGGTGCAAGTTGCACAGTCGTGGCGACGAGACATCAGGTGTTCGAGGAGCAGAGTACAACGCAATCGTATACTAGGAGGGAAGACGTCACGATTTGCCATTCACAGACCTTGATGTCAAATCTAATCTGATTGCCTCACCAAATCAATACATTCTCATAGTTTCACATTCGAAATTTTACCAGTTTTGATTATATAAAAATGCGCGTTCATTTTGTTACAGTTGTGGAGTTTGATTACTCTAAAGACCTCTGGTTCGATCACAAGAGAAATCTGAAAATGTAAGACTTGTCGTCTAAATAAAGTTATTCGGATTGGTATTTTATTGTGAATCTGAACTAGTCGATTAATTTTGAATTCGACGGTAAACAAGCCCACAAAGTACTCTATAACACATTTTCTGTTCCCCGAGATTAATTATTGTAGGCTAGTTACAAATAAAAAAACAAATAAGAAAAATATGGTAATGCGATAGAAGGAGTAATAATGTGGGTTAAGGTCGTCCACACGCAACGTTGTTCAATTTACCAGTGAATTGAGGACGACGGCCACAGTAGACCACTGTTTGCTTTACTAATCATATCCCATTGTGGGATAGATGGGAAACATTCAGCGATTTAGTCGCTTTTTAGAGTATTCTTCATCATTCTCAAAACACCGGGATCTCTTCCAACGTTTGCCTTAAAAAAGATACTTTATAACTGTTAAGTCTGATATTCATCAAGGTAAGAAGGTACATCAATTCCGACATAGTGCGCTGATATAAAATAATGATTTCTGCCGAAAGGACAACTTATTGTCAACTAACGTACTTTCGCACTATCAAAACGCAAGAGCATTTTTTGAGAATATAAATTTCAATCAACTATGTTATTCAGAAGAAAAAAAACTGGCTACAGCTACAGTCCATGATACGATTGTCTACAGTACTACAGTATCCAAAATAGTCATACTCATACGCACCCTTACCAATTTACCCTGCAAGAACGTTCCAAGAGCCACGCAAACCTATGACATTTCCAGGTAAAGGTCACAGCTCCTATGTTCCCTGCCACAAAGGCCATATTAAGAAGTCACTGCAGGACGGTGATTTCTCTCTCCGCGGAGAATTGTTTCGTCACTGGAGGTGACAGTTGGACCTCCTTTATCCTGCACCTCGCCATTGTACGCTCCCAGCTGGGGCGAAGCCCTCCTGGCTGCACCCGCGGCCTCGGTGGTCCCGCGCCGGATATAGTTTGATGGATTGGTAACGGTGTCTAGGAGTTTGCTCGCAATGTTACACAGTATTATGTATTATATTGAGGCATTTGCTCACCTGGGGATGGGATAAGATTTAAGATCCAGACAAGTTGAAAACTTTGTTTTTTACTGATTGTGATGAAAATCTCTTAGCATTGACTTACATCGCCAAAAATGAACATCAAAGATCATCTGATTTATGACAAACAAAAAAATACGCTGAGATGGTCCTCTTAAAATGATTGGTGTTGATATAGATTACGTAATTTTTGCTTCCTTTAGCTTGTATATCTTTATGACCTTTCGCCCTAAAGTCTGTCCGGATTTTTTCTTGTAAATTATTAAAGCCGAATATTAGAGCTGCACAGTTTGTTCACGTTCGCAATGTCAGACTATAAAGGACACCTGTGCACTATAATTGTTATAAAGAGTATCACAATTCGCGATTTAACTATTTATAAATCATATCGCCACGACTTTCTAGTGTAAAAAATACCAAACCTGTAAAGATAAAATTTACTCTAAGGTGTTAGGTGACCTCCTCTTTAAGATAAAAAGTTAACTCCCACGGACATTTAATCAGGTGTTTTCACGTTGTCACTATTAGGATTCTGGGAAAACCAATTTTGTCTAGCTTGAAGACCTCTTGGCGTTAATGTGTCCTTATTATTATAAACCTGGAAATAACACTATCCAAAATTGGTCCTTCGAGCCGGATTTAAGTGGCTTGATAACGGTCTTGGTTTTGAGCTGACGATCAACATGTTCCATTTTAGACTAAAATCGACTTGTGTTGAGAGTGGAAAACGTAAACCATACACCATAAATAACAAATTTGTTACCAAAATTACATACGGGCGGCTGTTGGCCCCGGCGGGTCCCGTAGGCCGTAAGGACTGCGGCCTCCAGGCGGGGGTTTTGACCTTGTGGTGAAAGTGAACCCCCAAGAGAGACCCCACGCGTTGTCGCCAATTTCATCCTCAGTGCAGTGATCGGCCTCAACGGAGAAAGCGGGGCTTCGCCCTCCCTCAGCGAGCCTAAACTGTCATAATGAAGTTCTAAGCCTGTTTGGTTGAAGAAAAGGGTCTAAGGGCTAATGAACCAACCACATTTGTATAGATTTAGATCTTTCTAAAACTGAATTGGCCACTACTGAACTAAACCTGTCATGTGTTAAGCCTTAGGGATCAATGAACGTTTAGATCTTAGGTGCGTTCCGGATTTAACGAAAATGACGCACTGCGGTATTTTTACAGTTCATTTCCTTTCGATGTGAAATTCTAGTTATAACGACGCAGTGTATGCCTAAATACAATTCTATAGCCCTACTTCATGTATATTCATCACAGTCTTTGCAATATGAGCAACGTGCGGCAGTGTAAATTTGTATCCAAATTACCACATGTCACTCTAAAAAAAGACACCCCCTAAAAACAAACATTCTTTAAAATAATTAGACACCCCATACGCTCTAACACGTGAAAATCAAATAAATGCTACTTTTGTGCATATATTTCCATGGTTTGGCCTAGCTATGTGAAGATTGCAAGGAAAAATGTAGTACCAAAAAGTCGAAAATCCTACAAATTGGATTTATCAGCAAACGTCAACTGATAAATAGTCTTGTCTGATGCATCTACTGGTAGTTTACGCAAAATTTGCATAATCTCAATGTTAGTTTAAATTGGAAATAATTGTGAGAAACGTAAACGTGACCTCCCCACACTGACACTATGGACACTGAACTGAGTCGCGTTCATAGAACAGCCCACCCGCGGCCCGTAGGAGGTATTAAGTTACAATCTCACTCGGGATCCGATTTCCTTGATTAAGAAATTTACAAGTTTTACTCTCGAGCATTCCAAGAAATCCGAAACCTAGAAATCCGTCTCGGGAGGTCTTTAAACACTGAGAAGATAAATCGGAGAATTCTCAAGTCGCGTCGTCACCTCGGAGTTATAAATCCATGCTATCGGTCGGCGTAGAGACAATCTTGTTCTTTCAACACCATAAAGAGGTTTAGAATTATGTACGACCGTATTGCTACGCTTTGTTTTCATAAAATGTACGTATGGGTAAAAAGTCAATACCTGTGTAGCGTACTACTGTACTAATTGGCAAAGTAAAGGTTATTAAAGTCATGAGGAGTAAAGAATCGTACTTGTGATTCTTATTTCATATACAGCCAAAATCACGATTAATCATGGTTGCAATTGTAAATATGTGAGATTACAAAAATTATTCGATATAAATAATTATTGATAGCGTACACAGATTCGATATTGGATTGACAAAAATGCGAATCTCCAAGATAGATTGCAGAGAAGAGTATAAACCAAGCAATATTATTGGCCTGAAATATCTTCTTAAATTAATGAAATACAATTTTGAAATAGAAAAAGATCAATTTGATACGCTCTCTGTGGACGAAAAAAAATACTCCGATGAAAAACATTTATAATTAGAGAAATTAACTTTTTACAGTTTTTTTTTAGTTTTCTCTATATAGCACTAGCAGAGTATCCTTCGTACAGGGTTGCCGTATAAGTTAAATGCTTATTGCAACTTTACTCGTGCTTTGCATTTGCAATAGGAGAGGACACGGTTTATGAAAAGTCGGTATGCTATAGTATAGCACATCTACCATAGCCATAAAATGTTCTACCACTGCATTTAAACGATAAAAAAGTTACATTCTCATTTGTCACAGCTTTTTGTTGCTAGTTGGTTCAAATTAGATGTTTATGCAAAAAATTAATAGTGCTGCACCCTGTTGGTAAACCTTATAATTTTGTAATGCCATTTTCACAAATCACGTCACAATCCTCCGAAGAACTTAAAACGAAAAATATCCATCCCCACTCCAGCACAAAATCCTAGCCGTACATAACCGAAAACCACAATCTCGATTTACGACGATTTTAAATCAGCCAGTGGATAAACAAATATAAATAGCCGGGGGGATTTATTCAACGGTATATCTTGCGTGTCGCAACACCACAGAAGCACAGAAGGGAGCCAGTTTTGTAGCGCTAATTCAGACATGTAATATAGTACTGTACAAGGAGCGGCGATGTCAATCCAGTAGGCCGTGGCATCGGCGTCCCGCTGTTTCCCGCGCAATCAACTGTCACTGTCGCGTCACTTATGTAAATAAACACAGGCCTTCGTTCTAAACATGTATGATTAATTTGCAGTTTGTTTCTTTCAGGAGCTATTCGGTGGCCGTACTGTAAATACGCTTTCGTACTGTATTCGAGTTTTGGTAAGGGGATTGTTTTGGAGTGAC